AAATGAAGTCTTCGCAGCGTTCACACATGACTGTCTGATCTGCCTCGCTCACAGAGATCTCTTTGCAGTGTTTGCAAACTTTCATCTCTGACTTAGCTGATTTGATTTTAGCCTTTTGTCTAGCAGAACTAGAGGGCTTTTCGACTACCTTTTTTTTCCTCTGTCCAGCCATCGGACAATGCACCGAGGAAAACGTAAGTTTAAAACTGAATTGACTTGAGTAGTGTTGAAGTTAAAATTCTATTTAAAACAGAATTGGAAATTAAAAATACAATACACGGAAACACAATTTTAAAACTGAATTGACTTTGAGTAGAGTTAAAGTTCCGTCAAAAATTACGACTCTAGCTGAGCAAGGGGACTCAGCTAGCTGAACAGCTGAACGAGGTGAGAGGGGTGGGCTGAGAGAATGAAGGGCTCGCGACAGAGGGGTAGAAAGGGTGAGGGGCAGGATAAGGGTCCCTAGACGGCGGGCAGCGTAGAGGTAGACGGAGGGGCAAGGGTGAAGTTTACGGAGCTCGGTTCGAGAGAGTAGGCTTACCAGAGGGCACTTCGCATATCTTCGACACAAGGTGCCATCACTCATTAGATTTACCCTCGGTTTTTCAGCACGAAAACAGGGAACCGTTATTTACTTGCTTCCACTCTCTGTTTGCATTCTCTTTCACTGACTTCACTTCAAGTCCTTTCAGTGAGACGCTTCAATACAAAATGCGTTAAATGCCCAGTGGTTAAAGTTCAGAGTACCGGGATTGGAGCAGAGAGGCGCGGGTTCGATCCCAGCTCTGTGGGCCAGTTTCTGGTCTGGGCGGTTAAGCACAGCAGAATGGGAGCAGTGAGTTGCGAGTTCGAGACCACATCAAGCTGTGAACGTTCTGCGATGTTAAGAATCGGCGACAGGCCTACGACTACTATCGCGCTCAGGAGCAACCTCACTGTATCGCTTCGACATGAATTTCTTGATTTGGGTAAACACCAAACTTGTCGGAAATCCATTAAGTGAGAAAATATTATTGCGTAAAAATTCAAGTTAACCGTGCATAGCATGGTATGTGGAACAAATGCGAAAACCTCTATGTAATAATGCTTGAAGCACATTTAACTTGAATCGGAACGAACAAAACTAAAGAAACTGGTACTTAGGCCGGTGAAAGTCGGTTTTCGGTACACAGAAGTAAAAAAAAAACGGCCATTAGATTTGGTAATATTGCAATCGAGGAAGGATGTTGGCAGAAGTGTCCTTCGAGCGTAGCCGCTTGCACGATTTAATATCAACCGGTGAGCTGAGTGCCTTGCTACAACATTCTTCAATAAATTTCGAATTGGCCATCACTCGGTCCTTTGTATCAGATGCAGAACTCTCGGGAACTCCAAACCAAACCAAGTTGGACTTCCTACGTTCTCTGTCCAGTAATTCGCGTGAGCTTTCACTAGCAACTTCGGATAAATCAACTCTCTGAGACTTGACCTCAAAATTTTCCGTATTTTTCAGCTGAGCCTTCACTCCAGTCAGCTCATTGCAAAGCGAGCTAAATTTTTCACTCAGCGAGCGCACCATCTCACTCAAGGCGTTTACTACATCATTCAACGATTTCG